GAGTTTTTCAGGAAGGTGCATGAAACAGAATTTTGGTTTCTCAAACCAAATGCTGTTGCTTACTTTTCAGTTGCATCTTTCCCTGTTTTCAGAGAGAAAAGAGCAAACCGTTTAGGAAGGGATGTTTATCTCACTTAGAGGGAGGTACAAGCCTGCATGCCAAATGGGGATGGAGACTTGTAGCAAAGATACTAATGCTCATCCGTTTCCGAGGCTTGCTGGAGATCTCTGCACATTTCCCTGAGGACACTGGACAGTTTTATCCATGCAACGCTTTCAACAGCATGGAAATATGTGACCCAAAACTTAACACTTCATCATTCCCAGCCTCCTTGTTCACATTTAGTACAATTACCGAATCCCTTCTGACTACGCGGAAGAGGGAATTGTCAAGTGACTGGAGGGAGAGTTTTGACATATCTGAGCTGAGAAGAAATGCAAGGAAAATCCCAGCAGTCGTCTTTTTCTTCCCAGTGGCTGGTGCAACTGAGAATGTGCTAATTCTTTGACTTCAGTCCTCTGTAACTTTCTCTTTTTCTTATTCATTGGAGAAGGTAAGCCTTGCTCTTCTCCCTGGTAGGTGGCACCAACCGCCAGAGGCATGTGTAACATTGTTAGCACACCCTAACTTGCTGCAATATTTCCTGCCACTGTGGAACTTTTGCCAAGTGTGACTTGTGCATCTTAGGAACAGAGAAAGGAGCCACTGGAATGCTGACTTCAATGGGTCCTATATCTTTACTCTGAGCCTCAGGTAGATGGTCTTCAGGGGAGCATATACCCAGTGCATTCTGTATGAAGGGTGTTCAGTTAATGAACATCGAAGTTAAATTGGTGAATGACTTTAAAAGTGTGCCTACACATAATAATACATTTTATTTTAACTTTAGTTTTAAAAATATGCATTCACTTATTCGTGTTTTAAACTGTAAGGCCAAACCCTGAAATTCTGGGTAAGTGGTTCTCTCATAAACTTTTCCATAATGAACTACATCAATTTTCTAGCTTCTGTTTTTTTTGTGTGTTTTTTTAAACTACAGCAAGTAAGACATATGCAAAGCAATTAAAAATCCTCTAATGTTTTATTTTTCCCAGTCTTTTAGAGTTGTTGCAAGATACATAATGCAAAAACAATTTTTTTAGTGATTTGGTTCTATTAAGCAAACCTAAATATTTCAATTAGGTTCTATTTTAAAAAATGAAAAACTTACTTCACACACTAATAGCATATTTACATAACATTATAAATCTTACCACTGCAATAACAGATCAGGCAGAAGCAGATTTGGGACCAAGCACAACTGGCAGAGACAGTGGTGCACACATACGCTTAATGCTGTGCATATACTCTGGGCGTCAATGTATTTTAAAGAAGGAATGGAAAATACTGACTCATGTATTAAGTGGGATATAGGAGAACGCAGTTAAGAATGCTTCTACTGTAGTTATAATTCTATATAGTTGATAGACATTAAATTTGAAAGGAAGTAAAGGTTTTTCAAATTCTATCATTTGTGTTGAGAAAATACGGATTGATATTTTACTACTACTATCATACTTCTTTTTTTGTAAATATGTTTTTATTGATTTTTTTTAAAGAGAGAGGAAGGGAGAGAGAGATAGAAACATTGATGTGAGAGAGAAACATCGATTGGCTGCCTCCTGCATGCCCCCTACTGCGGATCAAGCCAGCAACCTGGGCATGTGTGCTGACTGGGAGCCACACTGGCTGGGCTATCCTTCTTAATATAGATAAAAATAAAACCTGTATTAATAAATATTAATAAGAATTTGTTTCTTTCTGAAGCAGAGTATATCCTGTTATTACTGGAGGTGTGTCTTCTAAATAAGAAAGTACACAAGACAGATTGGGAGCTTATTCAGATGCAGATTCATGGAGCTGGCTCTCAGATACTTTAATTCAATGTGGAGCCAGGAAGTTTTGTTTTCCACCAGAGCTCCAGTGATTATGATTCAATTGGGCACTTCAACACTTTCCTGGAATTCAACCAAATTACCTACAACAAGAATCATGTTTTAAGATTACTTCTCTGAATGTCTTTAGAAATTGCTATAGTATTTTTCTTCTCCCATTCCTTCTTTCCTTCCTTTCCTCCTTCTGTTTCCTTCCTTCCCTCCTTCTTTCCTTTCCTCCTTCTGTTTCCTTCCTTCCTTCCTTCCCTCCTTCTTTCCTTTCCTCCTTCTGTTTCCTTCCTTCCTTCCTTCCTTCCCTCCTTCTTTCCTTTCCTCCTTCCTTCCTTCCTTCTTTCCTTTCCTCCTTCTGTTTCCTTCCTTCCTTCCTTCCTTCCTTCCTTCCTTCCTTCCTTCCTCCCTCCCTCCCTCCCTCCCTCCCTCCCTCCCTCCCTCCCTCCCTCCTTCCTTCCTTCCTTCCTTCCTTCCTTCCTTCCCTCCTTCTTTCCCTTCCTCCTTCTGTTTCCTTCCTTCCTTCCTTCCTTCCTTCCTTCCTTCCTTCCTTCCTTCCTTCCTTCCTTCCTTTCCTCCTTCTGTTTCCTTCCTTCTGTTTCCTTCCTTCCTTCTGTTTCCTTCCTTCCTTCCTTCCTTCCTTCCTTCCTTCCTTCCTTCCTTCCTTCCTTCCTTCCTTCCTCCCTTCCTTCCTTCCTTCCCTCCTTCTTTCCTTTCCTCCTTCTGTTTCCTTCCTTCCTTCCTTCCTTCCTTCCTTCCTTCCTTCCTTCCTTCCTTCCTTCCTTCCTTCCTTCCTTCCTTCCTTCCTTTTTCTTTGAATTTCAATAAAACATATGGAACGCTCAGGATATGTCAATATTCTATTAGCCTTTGAGGATTCACAAATACAACACTTCTGTCCTCAAGGAGTTCATAGCCTGGTCAGAAGACAAACATATAGATCAAGAATTATGTTGCACTTCAAGCATTACCAAGGAATACTTTCTGAGGCGGTTGTGGATACACAAAGTCTAGAATGCCAGCAGTTGGCATTCTTTTGAGGACTACTTTTATTTTCCCCACAAAGAAACTATTTTGAACACTTAGCAACCACGACTGTGGTTGTCCTGAAGGAAACAATAGAAGTATATTGAGATGCAGGTGCAGAGCAGCTGAATCTCACTAGCTCCTCACTTGCTCCTACGTTCAGCTTCTGCCTCAAATCCAAACTCATGCCAGTGAATGATTCCAGTGCTGGATTTACAGATCTGCCAATTGCTATTTAAAAACAAGAATGTTATGAACATAGGTGTGCATGTATTTTTTCCAATTAGTGTTTTGGATTTCTTTGGATAAATGTCCAAAAATGGAATTGCTAGGTTATATGGTAGTTTTACAAAGGTTATACACTGTTTCCCATAATGGCTACACCAAGATATAATCCCATAACAGTGCACAAATGTTCCCTTTTCTCCACATTTGCACCAATACTTGTTTGTTGACTCATTGATGATAGCCATTCTGACAGGTATAAGGTGATAACTCTTCGTGGTTTTAATTTGCATTTCCTTAATGATTCGTGATGTGGAGCATTTTTTCATATGTCTATTGACTACCTGTAAGTCCTCTTTGGAGACATGTCTGTCTATTCAGGTCCTCAGCTCATTTTTAAAAAAATATGTTTTTACTGATTTTTTAGAGAGAGAGGAAAGGTGAAAGAGAGAAACATCAATGCAAGAGAGAAACATTGATCAGCTGTCTCCTGTATGCCCTGTACTAGGGATCGAGCCTGAAACCCAAGCATGTGCCCTGACTAGGAATCAAACCAGGACCTCTCAGGCAAGGGATGACACTCAATCCACTGAGCCACAATGGCCGGGCCTTGGCTCATTTTTTTTTTCTTTATTAATTTTAGAGAGACAGGAAGGGAAAGGGAGAGAGTGGTAGAAACACCAATGAGAAAGAACATCGATTGGCTGCCTCCTGCATGCCCCCCACTGAGGATGAGGCCCACAACCTGGGCATGTGCCCTGACCGGGAATCGAACCAGCAACCTCTTGGTGCATGGGTTGATGCTTAACCACTGAATCACAGTGGCTGGACCTGGCTTATTTTAAAATCAGATTGTTATTTTGATATTAAATTGTGTAAGTTCCTTGTATATTTTGGATATTAACCCCCCTATTGAAAGTATCATTGGCAAATATTCTTCTGAAATAAGTCAAACATAGACAGACAAATAACATGCATTCACTTATGTGTGGAATCTGAAAAGTAAAATGAATGAACAAACAAAATAGGAACAAACTCACAGATGCAGTGAATGAATTCATGATAACGGCCAGATGAGAGGGCAGTTGGGGGGATGGGTGCAAAAGGTGAAGGGATTAAGAAGTAAAAATTGCCAGTTATAAAAATAGTCATGGGGATGTAAAGTATAGCATGGGTAATATAGTCAATAATATCATAATAACTATGTATGGTGTCAGATGGATGCTGGAGGTATTGGGGGATCACTTTGTAATGTCTAATCACTATGTTAAACTCCTGAAACTGATATAATATTATATTTCAACTGTAATTAAAATTAAATTTAAAAAATGAGAATGTTATAGATAGAAAAGTCAAGGGTCTAATAATCTGTTTAAGTTATTATCTGAGCATATTTTGATTCCTCAATAATAATGAAAACACAAATAATAATCTTAAATAATTGTCTGATACTACCCTGGTAATTTATTGGAAAATATTTAATTATGTTAAAATATTTTATTAACTAGTATTTTATAAACATTTTCAAAAGTAAGCTATGATAGAGAAGTGTATACTGGTTAAAGATATTAATCAGATTAACCCAAAAACATCTATACAGATGTGAATATAAGGTTTTATTCTAATAAGAATTAGACGTAAGCCTTGATGGAGGGAAACACAGCAGAAAAATATTGAGTCAGTAATTTTAAAAAAGTAGGAAAAAGTGTGAAAGAAAAATCTTTACTTTTAAGAATGTTTAATTACTATTTAGAACATAGTTAAACACCAAACATGAAAAGACTTACTCTCTGAAGTAACAACTGCATCTCTGTCTTCTTTCGCAGGGTTTTGGAAATCCCTCTGGTGAATACTGGCTGGGGAATGAGTTCATTTTTGCCATGACCAGTCAGAGGCAGTACACACTCAGAATCCAGTTAGTGGACTGGGAGGGAAACCAGGCCTATTCGCAGTACGACAGATTCCACATAGGAAACGAAAAGCAGAACTATAGGTAAGTCCTCCTTCCCTGCCGTGCTCCGCGCCCAGCCCACGTAGTAGTTTTAGTGGAAAAGCGTAAAAAAAAGAAATGATGAAAGTCACCTTCAAATTGAAAATCAGGTTGTTTGTCTAGGCCTCTGACAAAGAGATACAAAAAACCCTGTAAAGACTTCTTAAAAGCTTAAAATTTCAGTTTTCACAGACTGATTTTCTTGACGTTGGCTCAAATTTTTGAAGATAGGGAATTAAATCCAGCATAATACTAGTATTGTTGTTACTGTTATAAAGGTTCAGTGGATTCATACATACAAAGCTGATGACAGAGAATTGACTCAAATGCAGTGGTTTGAAATATATACTCCTTTCTAGCAAAAGATTTTCTACTTATACGTTCTTCATTTACCTTTAAGTTATTTTTTCATATTATTTTGAGAGGAGTAAAATTTTATGTTTTTGTGTGATTGGCATAAAAATTATGTGAAGTGCGATTTAGATTTTTGGGGGGTAAATAATGTAAAAGGCAAAAATAAATCCAAATAATGGCATCAATAGACACAGTCCATCATTGCAGATGCAAAAATAGACAATCTATATACTTAATTGTTAGCATCTCTGATTTTTTTTTCAATGAGAAGCTTATATACTAGAAAAACAAAATTGAAAAAAGGCTAAGCAAGTAACGCGATGTGGTACATTTATTTCACAGACACTCACTGTGTTACTTCTGTGTTGCAGGAACTCTGCTTGCCCTAGCAATTTTGCAGTCAGCATCGAGATCACTAGTCTCCCAAACCTCACCCCAGCTTCGTTACTAACTAGATCACTAAACATATGAGAATATGTTTTAGTTACTTTTATGTCCCTACCCATTAATGCAATGTCTGGCACATAGCAGGTCATTGATAATGCTGCGTGCCTCAGTTTAGTAATCAGTAAGTTAGAGTTGCACTGATTTTAAACTCTCAACCTTGTGGCTGTGCTACACTGGTAAGGGAAACACAACCGTGTGTGTTAAAGGGTTGGCTCATTGCTACAAGCAAATGCAGTGAAAGCAACCAGAGCCTTTTGCTTTGTTACCAACTTGTGTGGCCCCCTCCTCATAGTTCAGCTGTTTTCTGCCGCTTATTTGTCTTTTTGAGACATATCATAGACTTTGAATCTACAACATTTTTATGAACACATCTCATTTTATTTTAATGGATTATGTATGGGGTTGGATCCTTGGAGAGATAATAATCATTTTCTTAACAAATAGTGATGATGTCACCACATCAACAGAGGATGAGAAATAGATCTAAAGAGTTCATAGTCTCAGGGGGCAGGGAGGAGTGAGGGTGTACATAACGGCAACTCAAGAAACCAAAGAAGAGACATTTATAAAATGCAATGGAGTGTAAGAAGAAATGTTTCCAAGGAGGTCAATATTTTGAGATTTTTATAACAAGGAAAACCACTGTAAAACATCAGGGGTACTCTTATGTAAATGTTTTGACCTGAAACTTGAAACTATATGAAACTTGGCTAATGTCAGACAGCCTGACAATAGGACTAGCAAATAATTAGTCTAGTCTTTTTCTAGGCTCCTGAAGAATTTTCTTTGGTTCTTTTCCAAAATGTCTCTCAGTTCTTGTGTGTGTGTATGTGTGTGTGCGCGCACATGTGCACACACACTTGGGCTTGCATACGTGTGCTTGTGAGGCTGGAGTGGTATTAAGGGGACAAAGAGTCCTTGGGCAGGTCTAGGAGGACTGTGGGCTCTGAGGAGGATTTAGGGCACATGGTATGAATATCTTTCTTGCAGCTGCATGAGGAAAGAACATGTACCTTCTCTTTGAGTGCCCCATGCTCTCATTGAGCATTTCCTATTCCTTCAACACTGTGATTCTGATCTTTACCCATATAATGCAGTTCTATAAAAAAGATGGAAAGAGTCAAGAACCATATAATTTCACTCATATGTGGGATAGAAAACTGAATGCAACAAATGTACAAATAAGACAAACACATTCATAGACACACAGGGAAAGGGGAGTGGGGGTGGGAGGTAGTAAAGGGTAAAAGGGGTCAGATATATGGTGGGGGAAGGGTTTTGACTTTGGATGGTAAATACACAATGTAATACATACATGATACATTATAGAATTGTATACTAGAAACATGTATTATTTTATTAACAAATGTCACCCCAATAATTTAATGAAATGTGTTTTTTTAAAGTAAGTCTTCCTAGCTAGTGTGAGCATACATTCTGGGGTCCCCATGCTTCTCACTTGAGAGCATTATGAACCTGGAGAATCAGCACTATAAGTCCAGGAGGAATTAACCATTTAATTCTAAACCTCTGGGTTTAATGAAAAGAAAGCTGAGGTTCAGAAATACGTAATATTTTGTCCTAGGAGAGAGAAAGACTCAAATATGGGATGTTTGACTCCTACCTAGTTCGCTGTGGTTTTCACTCTATTTGCTGTTGTAATGAAGTTGGTGGCTCCAGTCCTCTTTCCTGCCAAGACTCAGCAGAAAATAGGTCTGTAATCATCACCTTCTCATGTAATTGAGTATTAAGATTCATGTTGGCATCCAATGGGAAATTGGAACTCATTAAAACACAATGCCTGTCCTGGTGACAGCTCGGTTAAAATAAGCTCACTGAGAAAATCAAACAGAAGCTTGGAAAGGGAAGCTGCATCCTTGTGACTCCCCTCTCCACTGGCATCATCGCTCACTCTGCCCACTGCTGGTGCTGCGGGCCCAGCGGGTCCCGTGGGGCCTGGAGGTGGAACACTCCAGATGTCCAGCCGCCTCTTTCTGCTTCTCCTCCACTCACTGTTCTCGCCCAGTGAGGATGCCTCATTGAGATAAACTATTAAAGTGTTAATACTGACATCTGTATAGTATCTTATAATGTAGGAAAAGGTTTTTGACACTTTATTATTTAATCCTGACAATGACTTTTTGAGGTAGTTATTATTAGGCACATTGTAAAGATGTAGAACTGAGATTTGGGGTCAATTGACCTGCTCAGATTCAACTGAAATCAAAATTCTGGAATTTAGGCTAGGTTTTTGTTTTCTATTTTCACATTTTCTGTATTTTTTCCTCTTTTAAATTAAATTCAGAAGTTCTTTAAGAGTTTTATTTTTTTATTATTCTATCTTAACATAAATTATATTTTAAAAACTCTTCTGATAGCTATAGCCATATGTATAACTCTAATTTGAAAAAAGTCTTTCTCATGCTAGACATATACTGATTAAAAGTAAGTGTTGTGAATGGATAGATAAGCTTACAATGTACTTGTAAGCTTAAATGTACTTGTAATATACATATTTTCCTTTTATCCTCTAAGGAAATTTCAAATGATTTTCTCAGATAGAAAATAAAATCTATAGAACCCAGAGGAATATAAATAAAAAGAAAACAACAATAATGTAAGAGTGTCATGATGAACACATCATGTGAAATAACATGTAATCAAGGTGAAATGATTAAATACTTCCTCTAGAGAGGTAGTATCATCTAGAACCTCATCACCTAACACCAGACTGTTATAGAGCCTGTCTGCCTTCAGTCTCGATGCTCTCAATATATATTCCACACTGTCGTGGGATGTTTTTTCTAAAAGATAGTCTGACTTGGTCTCTGCTCCCTTCATATATTTCAACAATGTTCAAATATCTGCAGGTTAAAATCTGCCATTTAAAACTCTTCATGACCTGGCCACTACCTACTTATTGAGCTGTTGCTATCATACTGTCCCCATTACCTCCCCCAACCAGATGCTCCTTCATTATGATTATGTTTCAGTAATTACCTGCAATTTCCTTATACCTTTCATGCCTTTGTTTATGCTATATCCTTACTCTATATACATAAACCCAGCTTTGGATATATCTTCTAAATCTGTAAGATCCTCCTTAATCCAGGAAGTCTTCCCTGATACCTAAAGTAGATACTGTGATGCTCCAACCCCCTGTCTCTCTTCAGAACTGAAGCTCTCCTCCCACCTGCTGGGTTGCTGGTAACAGCGTATAGTCAAGGCCCCTGCTTGGGCATTGCCTATGGCTGAAGAAAGTCACATCACCCAAAGTCACTGCTTCTTCTTGCAGAGAGATTACACTCAATGATTGGTCAATATAGGAGTATTGGGGGCATATCTAATGGGCCATCCAAGGTCCAGAATTGCATTTGTGATTAGCTGAGGTCTTCACTGTGACTGCGTGAGAGCCCAGCTTCTCCCTGGGCTCAGCCCTGCTTTCTTCACATTGCCACCGGGATGCATCCTACGAGCTCTCCCCTGTAAGTCTCCCTACTCTGATCTGCCAGAGAAATGCACCACCCTCACTCTCAGGCTAATTGGGGTGCTCTGTGTTCTCAAATAGTCACTATTCAGTGTCCGCATTCTATTATAAGCTCATTAACAAGTGTTCGGTTTTTATCTTTAAATAACTGTGTGTGTGTGTGTCCTTTTACACTACGTCAAAACTTCTAGAGGTTAAGAAACATTTTTATCAAAGTTTAAGATATATAACTAAATTAGCCTAATTATTGATTGACAGTTAATAGCTAAATTTTTGGTGACTATGTATTATGCACCAGACACATTGTTTCACATGAGAAAACTAAGACATTGTATTTTGCTCAACATCACAGGCACTAATATGAATAGAAGTCAAGATCTGAGCTTTGATCTCATAACTTCACCATATTTATTATCCTTTAATAAAGGAAAATCCATTATTTAATTTCTAGAATTCAAAACACTCAAAGCACATATTCTTTTTTTTTTTTTTTTAAACCTCACCCGAGGATATTTTTCCATTTTTTGTACAGATAGAGTGGGAGGGAGAGAGAAGAAGGGAGAGAGAGAGAGAAACATCGATGTGAAAGGGACACATCAAGTGGCTGCCACCTGCACGACCAACCAGGGCCGGGGACAAACTGCAACTGAAGTACGTGCCCTTAGCGGGAACCGAACCCGGGTCTCTCCGGACCGCAGGCCGACGCTTTAACCAC